CTCTCTCTCTCTCTCTCTCTCTCTCTCTCTCTCTCTCTCTCTCTCTCTCTCTCTCTCTCTCTCTCTCTCTCTCTTCCATCTGTCTATCATAACTCCGCATTCCGCGGCTTGTACAGGCGGGACTGAAAACAGCGGCATCGTACATTGAACCTAATTGTGGGCGGCCATAAGCTGCTTCTGACTTCTCGAGATGCCCCTACCTATGTTATTTATCGGTGCTAATTACTTTTTCATTCCCTTCTCCTCCTCGGTCATTATAGCTGTACTTGGGGCAACTTTCAGTCCAGATACAGCTATAATGACCGGGCGTTATATTCGGGTGAAGACGGTAGGCGTAGTAAGAAGCTACACGTTCAGCCATCCGAGGAGACGATCGTTTTTTTTTTCCCTATTTTTTTGAGAAATGTCCACGGATGATGAGGATATCCAGGATCAAATTTGCCTTCCCTAACCGTCAACATCAATAACGACGGGAAAGAAGAAGGTCATAGCCGACATTACAACTATTGTAACCCAGTCGTAGCCAAACCACGTCTCTCTCTCTCTCTCTCTCTCTCTCTCTCTCTCTCTCTCTCTCTCTCTCTCTCTCTCTCTCTCTCTCTCAACGCGCGGCTGCGCGCGTTCACTTGCCGGCTAAGTCGGAGTCTCGTAGGGTTAAAAATAGGGAAAATAGGGATAAAGCGAAAGACATTCCGATGGGTTCCTGTTTCAGCGCACTCCCGCCAACTCTCGTACAGAGATGAAACCTCCATCGTTTACCATTCTCACCGATAAATATTCACTTGTCTTTGATTTCCACATCCGCGTTCGGGGATGCGTCTGAGTGCACGCGGCAGTTCCAACTCCATGAACCATTCTCTGATGGTTCCAACTGATGAAGTGACGTTCTCCAGATTTTTTTCACGGGCGCCGTCTTCGGTCTTCCCCCAAGATCAACAGGAGATCGAGCTTGTTTATTTGGACATCTGGAAGACAGATGGCAGATAGAGTTGGGAGAGAGATTTCGAAGAGAGATTTGGGAGAGAGAGAGAGAGATTGAAGAGAGAGAGAGTTGGGAGAGAAATTAGGGAGAGAAATTTGTGACTGAGAATTTGGAGTGAGATTTGGGAGTGGAATGGAATGGTGGAGAACGCACACCTTCTCTTTCCACCGAGGCTGCCATGATTTGATCGCCACGCGTTTGTTTCCCTTCGGTTTTGTCTCGAAACGATCGCCGTCCATTTTCGTCCCCCTGTATCAACGGCTGAAATTTCTCCGATTAACTCGATCAGGGGAAAGATACCTGTACCCGTGCGCGTGTTTTGTGTGTGTGTGTGTGTGTGTGTGTGTGTGTGTGTGTGAGAGAGAGAGAGAGAGAGAGAGAGAGAGAGGGTGGATAATGCAACGCCACGCAAGAGAAAGAGGGAGCTATGGGAAGACGGTCGAGCGGAAGATTTGTGTTTAGAACGAACTCATGAAAAAAACAAAAACGACAGGGTCTGCAAAGGAAAGGAGTGGACAAATAAGCAAATCAGAAGCACTTTCCCAGCTGCTGCGAAGATCTACCCTGGCAGACTGGTGACGAAAAGTGCGTAAATCGACCAACAGGGGGGAGGAGAGGGGGGTGGGGGGGGAGAGGGGACATGCAGTGGTTCGGGGACACGTGGTGTCTTCATGGTTCGCTGGCAAAGATTGTGATTGATCGATTGGTTTTGTAGTCCTGGTTCTTGAAAAGGTAGAGGTTATCCAGCGGGCTAGCTCAGTTGGTAAGGCACGCAAGTGGCATCCGGCAGGTCATGGGTTCAATCCCGATAGCCCTCAAGTCCCTTCCTGGGCAAGCTTGGTGCCCTGCAGCTACAGATAGGAAAGCGGCAGAGGCTGCTGATGTTCGTAGGGGGAGGGGACCGGAGGGGAGGCACAGCGACTACGGTAGCCCACAGAAGAACGGTCTGGATACTACGGGCTGACCCTTGCCTGGTGTCGCCCACCTGCAGGTAGGGTGCAGCCACCCGCGTGTTCCCTCGTTGGAGGCTTGATTGAACTCCGGCTGGCTGCTACAGGGTTCCCCGTAATACTATAATGTAATGGTGATAATAAAAAAGGCCTGAATGTCGAGATTTGACAGGTAATTGAAGTGGATACCTTTCTCGTATATCAGAGGGGGGGGAAGTGAAATAGCCCTGCCACGAAACATTTTGCGGGGGCCCTGTACATGCCCTGATTCGTCGTGGGATAGAGTAGTGTCGAGGGGGTAACCTGTTCGCAGCCAGGATGGCTGCGTATACATGGATGTCTTTTGTCGTTTAGCGGCCCGTTTCCTTATGGGGAATGTCGTCGACTGGGTAAGTGGGTTTAGAAGGCGTCGTTGCGCCAACCGGGCACGTAGTCTTGTGAGGGAACGCTACGGCGGTCATCGGAGATGTTGGCGCGCGTCTGGTCGTAGCGCCAACCGGGCACGTAGTCTTGTGAGGGAACGCTGAGATGGTGGTGCGCGTCTGGTCGTAGCGCGCTTTCTCGTATGGGAAAGGTTTTTTCGATTATCTGGCCGTTCGTTCTCCACCGAGATCGACGGGACCAGGGTTTTTTTTTGTCTGGCCGGTAATATCCATTGCCAACACATCAACAGCTGTTGTTCTTTTTTGTGGTTCCGTCAATGTACCTGGCCAGCATCAAATGCTCCCTGACGTAGGGCTACTCCGCTTTTCATCGGTTCTTTTGGGTTTTCATCCCCCCCCCCCCCCCC